GTGCAAAAGAATCATGAAGTATTCCTCGTATTACATTAGACTCTAAGGCCACAGCATTTTTTTTTCTTGAATAGTGCCCGCCGACATTTATTTCTAAGAAAATGAAAAAAAAAAAATCCCGATTATTTTTTTCAAATTTCCGCCGATATTGTGACGTCCGCGAAAGAAATAGCAAATGAATAAATATAAATCAATTTGTCTATGATTCATTGTGTATGGCATTGTTTCTCTCGTCCCCAAAACAAAAATAAAATATATTTGGCGTAAATACCTTACTCTCATGCGTCATGCCATGTCTGTTGTCTATCGTGCCCGTGGTCGGTGGTCGCTTCTGATCAGTACTGGCGTATTTCGCATTATACTGAATTTCATTTCATATCCAGAAAGTCCTTTTCCTACCTGTACAAAATGGCAATATATATATATATATATATATATATATATATATATATATATATATATGATTTTTATATTTTTATTTATTTACAAAATAAAATTCTGGTTGAAAGAATTCTTAGTTTGTATTCAACTCCTAGAAGACTTGCAGTAAGGCAGAATTGTACTTCCTCCAGGTGGGGCTGGAACTGATACATTCCTTTACTTCTGATCTTTGGAAGGTAGGAGGTACACTTGTCTTATTTGGTGCTGGGATTTTTTTCCCTCCCGCCAATATGTCATCATCACCAGACTTGCCCGCTATTCAAGAAAAAAATTGCTGTGGCCTAAGCGATGTTAATAAATAATTCAATTTCATTTTCAGGAAATGGATTGCTCTATCTAATGAGTAATTTTTCGTAGTTCGTTAGCCGGCCATGCTAGTCCTATGCGAACGTTCTACGAAAACGCTTGTTTTGAATCGCGGATGGTATATGCTGGTCACACTGTAATGCAATTGTATTCATAGCGTATTGCTCAGGCGTGCGATGAAAATATTACATCAAGAGTCGAATTCAGAATCTACATTTTGTGTATATGCATATAAATGTATATATAACCTATCAGTATATATGTATATGTATATATATGCATATATATATATATATATATATATATATATATATATATATATATGTGTGTGTATACACGAATGTTTTTTTATAGAATTGTAGTAAAGAGACAGGTAAATAAATAAGTATCGAAAGGGATCAATTTTAGTCTTTATTGCAAGCTCGGAAGCAGGTTTTCAGTTCTAGTCAGTCACACTTTGCACGAGATTCCAGCCTTTGACTCTTGACAGCTAATCTCTGCTCAGGGAAAGGGAATCACAGTTGCATTTCCTCATGGTTGTGGTTGTGAATTAGAATGTGTAATGGTTGAATGATTGTTCAAGATGAGAAAGAGAACATCAAGTAAATTCATTGAGGACAATTGCTTATATAAAATGAGTGATGGGTGAGTATAAAATGAGTGATGTGAGGTTTTATCTAGCATGAGAAGACGGTGTCGAGCATGACGAAGAGATCCTCCCTTGAAGGACACACTTGTCGAATCGGACGCTGCACGCCTTGGGGTCGTCTTGGCGAGGGCGATGGCCTGGTCGTACTCGATGCGGGAGGACTTGAGGTTGTCGGGATTCTCGAAGGCCGTCTTGAAGGTGGACATGGATGGGGTGAGGCTGTCGGCGGGCGTCGCCTCGATCTCGCACAGCAACTTGGCGATGCAGCCGGCCGAATCCAGTTCCTTGGCGACGGCCACCTTTGGAGGAAATATATGGGATTAGATACACTCCGCGCAGTGCGTAAATATTGTGTTCGTGAAAAAACGATTTAGTTATATATTTTGTCCATTTCATGCTAACAGCTTGAGGTATGAACCGTCTTAACATCTTCAGTACATACCTCAACTTCATCGTCGATCTCCATAGAATCGACGTCCCTCCTGTAACGGCGCTTGAGATGCTTCCCGATAAGAACTCCCTTGAGCACTGCCAGGGCGCCCACGCCCAAAGCTGCCGCTGCAGAAGCAGTGACAGTGGTAGCGGCGATGGTCCCGGCTGCGGCGGTGGTTCCCAAGAGGATGAGAGACTCGGAGGAGGCCCAGAGGCCGCACAGGAGGAGAGCGACGAACACGCGAGAGTTCATGGTTATATTGTGGTTGAAGCTGAAGAAAGAATTTAGTGGTTTAAAAAAATATATATATATATATATATATAGATATATATATATAGATATGTAAGAAAATATTTTATGTCGATAAAATGTTATCATTAAGATAGTACAAGTCCATGATCGGTATTTACATATCACCATCGACACTAAAAGAAGTAACAGAGATATTTCTAAAAAGTGGTCCACTGGTCCCGCCCCGTACCTGCTTGTGTTTCCGGCAAGGGCGCACAGGATTCTGACGGCGATCCTTGCGCCTCTCCCCGTATTTATGGCGCTGGGAAGTACCTGCGGAAGGTGAAGGACCTCGTCCCCATCTGATGGGGGAAATCGGGTAAGTTCACCCACTTAATGTTATCCTGGTGTGTGTGTGAATACCATATACGGAAGAGCTTTTCGCTATTTTTTTCTTATGATTAGATAAAAAGCACATCTATTTTGGAAACGTGTCCCAAGACGTTTGATTTCCACAAGATATAATATTCACAGCAAATAAATGCTTATATATAGTTTTAGAGCCTCTATCTTATGTTGGCTTACAATACATTTTTTCACTTCCATAACTTGTATCCTGGAGGACTACGAACTTACAGCCAGTGTATTATTTATGCTATTTGATTTCAAAGGATATAAGTGAAAGGAAATCAGCATAGCTGAACCTTCGGCATTACCTGCCCATGCCAAATAAGTCCTAGGACAAAGGGATTTTTGGACGATTTCTCAGGGTAAAAACACGGAAAACAAGGTATTGTAACGATTGCCATAGAACTTGGCATGGGTGCACACGCATGTATATATCGTATATATATATGCAGTATATATGTATATATATATATATATATATATATATATATATATATATATATATATATATATATATATATATATATATATATATATATATATATATATATATATATGGACATATATATATATGTATATATATGAGTATATTATATTCACTAATGACGTAGTGGCGATATTCCCAACGTTTTCTATATGTATCATGATAATGTTACCAATAGCGATAACGATAATTATAATGATAGTGATAATGATAAAGATAATGATTATGATAACAACTGTAATGAAAATGGTAGTAATGGTAGTGATAACGATGATAATAACTTTAATGACAAAAGAAATAATAATAATCGTAATGATAAAGAGGTGAATCATATTAGTAATAGCATCAATAATGTTGATAAAATTGATAATGTTAATGTTGATAACATAGAAAATGTTAATAATATGATGATAATGTTGTGTTAATAATATGATGTTAATAATGTTGTGTTAATACTATTAATGATAATGGTATTGATATTAATGCAATAATGACAATAAAGATGATAATGATAGTATAATCTAACATGGCCTCACTCTTTATATATATTTATACATGTCGCGTGTGTGTATATATATTTTTTATATGTGCATGTGTACATGCATATAGATCTCTACCTATCTACACAGCATGTGTATTTCCGTCCACTTTGGTTCTCTCTAAACAAAAGATTTCCCGAAAGGTCGTTCACGTATTACTTTGTCGTAGAACTCATCCGCAGATTTGCAGCTGTCTTTTATATCTCCTTTGGCCGGCTGGTCTGCTGAGGTTAGCTGTCTCGGCAACCTAGCTAATCGCCTGCTGTTGTCGCCATGTGAAAAAGGAAAATGGAGTTTGAGAACTTATAAAGTAGGCATATATATAATGTTATATATATATTTATATAACATTAAATATATGTGTGTACATATATAGATAGATAGGTATATATGTATAGTATATCCAGTATTGATGTAGTTGCGATATTTCCGACTTTTTCTGTATGTATTATGATGATAATATCAGTTATGATATCGGTAATTATAATGGTAGTGATAGTGATAAAGATGACAATAATGATAACTACATTGAGAATGGTAGTAATGCTAATAATAATAGCGATAATGATGATCATAAAAACTATAAGAATTATAGTAATAATGGTAATGATAATGATGTGAATTATGTTAATAATACTTATGATACAAATTATCAATAGCATTAATGGCGTTAATGATATATATAATGTTAATAATATTTATAGCGATAATGGTACTGGTGATTATAATGACAATGATGATTAAGATAATGTTTATAATGATAGAATCTGGGGTCTCCCTCCATCGAATGCTTTTAACATGGAATAAAAAGCTCACCATATATATATATATATATATATATATATATATATATATATATATATATATATATATATATATATATGCATGCGTGTGCATGTATGTGCGTGTTTATGCATATGTACATATGCATAACACTCTACCTAAACTTCTCTATAAACTCTAAAGATTTCCCAAAAGGTTGTAACGTTTTACTTTGTTATAGGACTCATCCATATATCTGCAGATGTGTGCCTATTTTCTCTCCCTTGGCCCGGCTGGTCTGCTGAAGTTAGTTGTCTCAGCAACCTAGCAATCGGCTGCTGTTGTCGCCATGTGGAAAAAGTAAAATGGGGATTTCCGAAGTTATGAAATAGGTGTGTCTATGATGTAATCTGAAGGATATTAAACGGAACAATGGTAGGGTTCAGTAGAAGACAAGGATATCCAATCAGGCAAAGGTGGCAAAGGCAACTGAAGGTCCTGCAGGATACCTCGTCAACACAAAAAGTGGCCAGCATGATATGGCCAAAATCATCCATCCCCTGGGAAATGAACTGTGAACAAAATCAAAGAATCGATAGAGATGTTCTATATGTGCGCACACATTTATACATGCATACACATCAAAAATGTATATAAATACATAGGCAGACAGATATTTTATATATTCCATTACTTATATGCGTATTTAGCGAAGGATTGGAAAATAAATGTGATTTCTCGAAGAAATATGATTTATTTCACTTGATGGTGAGCAAGAATGAATAGCGTTATGAACACTGCAGATATTCACTGTGACTCTCAGGTCCAGTCAGTGACAGTCTGAAAGCTACCTTCGGTCACAGTGACGACTCCGATCCACTCAGTCTGCCTGCGTGTATGCTTGGTGATGGTGTGATTGTGAGGTGCTTAGTGTAAGAATGCGGTGCTCATGACTAGCATGAGAAGGTGGAATCCAGCATGAAGGAGAGATCGTCCCTGGAGAGGACGCACTTGTCGAAGAGGGCGCTGCAGGCCTTGGCGTCTTTCTTGGCGAACTTGGAGCCGAAGGTGATGGCCAGGTCGTAGACGCCTCGGGATCCCTTGAGGTTGCTGTTGTTGTCGAAGGCGGTCTTGAAGGTGGACATGGCTGGCGTGAGCTGGTCAGCGGACATGGCCTCGATTTCGCACAAGAGCTTGGCCACGCAACCAGCAGAGTCCATCTTCTGGGCCACAGCAATCTGTTGGAGTGAAAAGAATATTAGTAAAGTCCAGAATTCCTTTATGTATGTGCCTTTCATTCCACATATACATAATTGCACAATTAAATTTTGTGAATGTAATTGATATAAGCGTTAACTTACTTCTGTTGCAACGTCCTCCTCCATGGAATCGACGTCCCTCCTGTAACGGCGCTTCAGATGCTTCCCGATAAGAACTCCCTTGAGCACTGCCAGGGCGCCCACGCCCAAAGCTGCCGCTGCAGAAGCAGTGACAGTGGTAGCGGCGATGGTCCCGCTGCGGCGGTGTTCCCAAGAGATGAAGGACTCGGAGGAGGCCCAGAGGCCGCACAGGAGGAGAGCGACAAAACACGCGAGAATTCATGATGGTGGCGGAGTCTGTGAGGAGAAAAGTTGACAGTGAGGCTACGCAGAAAGCTAAAATCGTCAGAAGTCGACGACCTGAGACATATTCAAGAGTCTTACAGGAAACAATTTCAGAACCAGAAAAGAGGATCTTTGTCCCTTACCTGCTTGTGTTCTGGAGCAGTGAGAGGACGAGTGTGATGTTGGTTCCTGGCAGAGCGCGATATTTATAGCGAGTGGACGGAGGCAGGCGGGTGACGGACCTGATCCTGGGTGAGAGGGAAAGCGAACGTATCCTATGGTGCAGGTAAGGCCTATTGACGTTAAATTAGTATAGTATTTCAATCCTTACGTACGTGCTTCCTCAACGCACAAATGTGCTTGTATCTGCTTCTCTGAACGTTCGTTACAAGACATCGCTTTATATGTATTTGTATGCACATATTAAATCCACAGACACGTGTGTGGGTGTGCATATATATATATATATATATATATATATATATATATATATATATGTATGTATATATGTATATAGATAGCTGTTAGATGGATTTACACACAAACACAAACATACATACAATTGCACATATATGTGTGTGTGTGTGTGTACGTGCACATATATACTACATTCATACACATGTGTATACATATGTATGCATACATATATACAATTACATATACACATACACATATGTGTATGTAAGTGTATACAGGTATATGTATATACATATACGTACAGATCTTTATATCTTTATTAGTGTACGTACTTGTATATATAAATGTATATATATACATATATATCCATATATATATATATGTATATGTGTCTGTGTGTTTGTATATATGTGAATATATACGCACAAGTTTATATAGAAAAGTATATATATACCTTTCTAAACGTACTTTTCAAAAGGAAATTATGAGATATGCATATACTCATGTATTTTGTTGATATATGTAATATATATATATATATATATATATATATATATATGTCAACCTGCCTGTCTATCTAAATCATGTAAACTTCTAATACATCAATAAACAAAGGCACATATGTATATATACGTATTTATATATACTGATTTATATATATAAATCCCTTATCTATATATATATCTATATATATATACACACATGTGTATGTGCAAAAGTATTCCTCGTATCACTTCATACTCTAAGGCCACAGCATTTTTTTTTCTTGAATAGGGCCCGCCGACATTTATTTCCAAGAAAAATGAAAAAAAAAAAGAAAATCCCGATTTTTTTTTCAAATTTCCCGCCGATATTGTGACGTCCGCGAAAGAAATAGCAAATGAATAAATATAAATAAATTTGTCTATGATTCATTGTTGTATGGCATCGTTTCTCCCGTCCCCAAAACAAAAATAAAATATATTTGGTGGAAATACCTTACTCTCATGCGTCATGCCATGTCTGTTGTCTATCGTGCCCGTGGTCGGTGGTCGCTTCTGATCAGTACTGGCGTATTTCGCATTATGTTGAATTTCATTTCATATCCTTTTCCTACCTGTACAAAATGGCAATATATATATATATATATATATATATATATATATATATATATATATATATATATATATATATATGTCGATTTTTTTCCAAAATAATAAATTCTGGTTGAAAGAATTCTTAGTTTGTATTCAACTCCTAGAAGACTTGCAGTAAGGCAGAATTGTACTTCCTCCAGGTGGGGCTGGAACTGATTTTTTTTTTCTCCTTATATTTCATCATCACAGACTTGCCGCTATTCAAGAAAAAAATGCAATGGCCTAAGCTATGTTTATGAATAATTTTAATTTAATTTATAGGAAATGAATTGCTTTATCTAATGAGAGTTTTTTTTCGTAGTTCGTTAGCCGGCCATGCTAGTCCTACGCGAACGTTCTACGAAAACGCTTGTTTTGAATCCGCGAATGCATGCGCCGTGTGCTGAACAGTTCCTGTTTGGTGGTGGTATATGCTGGTCACACTGTAAGGCAATTGTATTCGTAATGTATTGCTCAGGCGTGCTATGAAAATATTACATCAAGAGTCGAATTCAGATATCTACATTGGTTTGTGTATATGCATATAAATGTATATATAACTTCAGTCTATATGTATGATTATATGTATACATGCATATATATATTATGTGTGTGTGTGCACACATGTGTGTTATAGAATTGTAGTAAAGAGACAGGTTTATAAATAAGTATCGAAAAGGATCAATTTTAGTCTTTATTGCAAGCTCAGAGGCAGGTTTTCAGTTCTAGTCAGTCACTTTGCACGAGATTCCAGCCTTTGACTCTTGACAGCTAATCTCTGCTCAGGGAAAGGGAATCACAGTTGCATTTCCTCATGGTTGTGGTTGTGAATTAGAATGTGTAATGGTTGAATGATTGTTCAAGAAAGAACATCAAGTAAATTCATTGAGGACAATTGCTTATATAAAATGAGTGATGGGTGAGTATAAAATGAGTGATGTGAGGTTTTATCTAGCATGAGAAGACGGTGTCGAGCATGACGAAGAGATCCTCCCTTGAAAGGACACACTTGTCGAATCGGACGCTGCACGCCTTGGGGTCGTCCTTGGCGAGGGCGATGGCCTGGTCGTACTCGATGCGGGAGGACTTGAGGTTGTCGGGATTCTCGAAGGCCGTCTTGAAGGTGGACATGGATGGGGTGAGGCTGTCGGCGGCGTCGCCTCGATCTCGCACAGCAACTTGGCGATGCAGCCGGCCGAATCCAGTTCCTTGGCGACGGCCACCTTTGGAGGAAATATATGGGATTAGATACACTCGCGCAGTGCGTATATTGATTGTGTTCGTGAAAGAACGATTTAGTTATATATTTTGTCCATTTCATGAACAGCTTGAATATGAACCTCTTAACATCTTCAGTACATACCTCAACTTCATCGTCGATCTCCATAGAATCGACGTCCCTCCTGTAACGGCGCTTGAGATGCTTCCCGATAAGAACTCCCTTGAGCACTGCCAGGGCGCCCACGCCCAAAGCTGCCGCTGCAGAAGCAGTGACAGTGGTAGCGGCGATGGTCCCGGCTGCGGCGGTGGTTCCCAAGAGGATGAGAGACTCGGAGGAGGCCCAGAGGCCGCACAGGAGGAGAGCGACGAACACGCGAGAGTTCATGGTTATATTGTGGTTGAAGCTGAAGAAAGAATTTAGTGGTTTAAAATATATATATATATATATATATATATATATATATATATATGTATATATATATATATATATGTAAGAAATATTTTATGTCGATAAAATGTTATCATTAAGATAGTACAAGTCCATGATCGGTATTTACATATCACCATCGACACTAAAAGAAGTAACAGAGATATTTCTAAAAAGTGGTCCACTGGTCCCGCCCCCGTACCTGCTTGTGTTTCCGGCAAGGGCGCACAGGATTCTGACGGCGATCCTTGCGCCTCTCCCCGTATTTATGGCGCTGGGAAGTACCTGCGGAAGGTGAAGGACCTCGTCCCCTTCTGATGGGGGAAATCGGGTAAGTTCACCCACTTAATGTTATCCTGGTGTGTGTGAATACCATATACGGAAGAGCTTTTCGCTATTTTTTTCTTATGATTAGGTAAAAAGCACATCTATTTTGGAAACGTGTCCCAAGACGTTTGATTTCCACAAGATATCATTTTCACAGCAAATAAATGCTTATATATAGTTTTAGAGCCTCTATCTTATATTGGCTTACAATAATTTTTTTCACTTCCATAACTTGTATCCTGGAGGACTACGAACTTACAGCCAGTGTATTATTTATGCTATTGATTTCAAAGGATATAAGTGAAAGGAAATCAGCATAGCTGAACCTTCGGCATTACCTGCCCATGCCAAATAAGTCCTAGGACAAAGGCGATTTTTGGGTAAAAATACGGAAAAGGTATTGTAACGATTGCCATAGAACTTGGCATGGGTGCACACGCATGTATATATCGTATATATATATGCAGTATATATGTATAAATATATATATATATATATATATATATATATATATACATATATGTAAATATATATATATACATACATATATATATACACACACGCACACATATATATATATGGACATATATCTATATGTATATATATGAGTATATTATATTCACTAATGACGTAGTGGCGATATTCCCAACGTTTTCTATATGTATCATGATAATGTTACCAATAGCGATAACGATAATTATAATGATAGTGATAATGATAAAGATAATGATTATGATAACAACTGTAATGAAAATGGTAGTAATGGTAGTGATAACGATGATAATAACTTTAATGACAAAAGAAATAATAATAATCGTAATGATAAAGAGGTGAATCATATTAGTAATAGCATCAATAATGTTGATAAAATTGATAATGTTAATGTTGATAACATAGAAAATGTTAATAATATGATGATAATGTTGTGTTAATAATATGATGTTAATAATGTTGTGTTAATACTATTAATGATAATGGTATTGATATTAATGCAATAATGACAATAAAGATGATGATAATGATAGTATAATCTAACATGGCCTCACTCTTTATATATATATTTATACATGTCCGTGTGTGCGTGCGAGCGCGCGTGTGTGTATATATATATATATTTTTATATATGTGTACATGCATGCATATAGATCTCTACCTATCTACACAGCATGTGTATTTCCGTCCACTTTGGTTCTCTCAAAACAAAAGATTTCCCGAAAGGTCGTTCAGGTATTACTTTGTCATAGAACTCATCCGCAGATTTGCAGCTGTCTTTTATATCTCCTTTGGCCGGCTGGTCTGCTGAGGTTAGCTGTCTCGGCAACCTAGCTAATCGCCTGCTGTTGTCGTCA